CACATCATGGCATCTCTCCATCTGGTGTTTTTATTTGTTTATTTTTGCTTTTGGTACAGATTTAAAAAAAATACTTCATTTTGAATTTGAATTTCTAGGAAGTCTGCTTAAAACCTCAGGTATTTATTTTTATTTCTGTTTATGTTTATTTATCTTTGAGAAAGAGAAAGCAAGCAGGGGAGGGGGCAGAGAGGGAGGGAGACAGAGGATCTCAAGCAGAATCTGCTGAGAGTGGGAGCCAGATGCGGGGCTCTATCTCAGGAGCTGAGAGATAGATCATGACCTGAGCCAAAGTTGGATGCTTAATTGACTGAACTACTCAGGCGCCCCTTGATTTTTTTAATTGAAGTATAATTGACATACAGTGCTATATTAGTTTCGGGTGTACAACACATTGATTGGACAGTTCTCTACATTATTCAATGCTCATAATGATGTGTCGTCACTGTCACCATACGCTACCACGTTACTATGAACTCTATTCTTTATGCTGTACTTTTTTTTTTTAAATACTTTATTTATTTCCAGGAGAGAGAGAGAGACAGCGTGAGTAGGGGAGGGTCAGAGAGGGAGTCACAAACTGAAACAGGCTCCAGGCTCCGAGCTGGCAGTCTGCACAGAGCCCGACGCGGGGCTCGAACCCACGAACCGCGAGATCATGACCTAAGCGAAAGTCGGACGCTTAACCGACTAAGCCACCCAGGCGCCCCTATGCTGTACTTTTCATCCCCATGACTTATTTATTTTATAACTGGAAGTATTTACCTCTCAACCCCCTTTATCTATTTCTACATATTTATTAATTACAAGGAGAAAAATAATTTTACAGTGGGGAAACCCACCAGACACCACCTAACCAAGCAATCAAAGTTAACATCACCATCGAAAGGTGAAACCGCCCAAACTACGGAATGTGCACAAGGACCCTCGATACATAATTTTTACTTAATGATTTAAAGCAATTCAATGTTTTCGCTGCCATAACGTTCAGGACTAAACCACCAACAGTGACAAAAACTTAACAAATTCTGTTTGATTTGGCGGGGGTGGGGAGGACTCACGAAGTAACTAGAAGCATATTTTTCCTAAGTTTTATCTCTGTGAAAATTGTATGGTTTACAAATGATGAAAGAGCAGCCCAATTCTTCCCAGCGATACTTCTATTATTGTATGGCAATATAAGATGAACCTATTATGGAAACTGTATTTGGAAGCTGTAGTTTACACATTCTAGATTGATTACATTTAAGAATTTTCTTGTCAAAGGGGAATAAAATACATCTTCTGTAAAAAATAAGCTAAAAGGTATGTTTACCTTTTGATTTTAAATAATCACGGCTGATACTTACAGAGCATTGAGTGTGTGCCACTTTTTTCGTTTAATTCTCACCATTTCCTAAAGCAAATCATTACCATTTATCAGATGAGAAACTGGTTAGAGGTGAAGAACATGGCACAAGGACTAGTTGTCAGACACTAGCAATAGTGTCCTTCTTTCTCCAAATAATTTTTCAATTGCTAACAGGTAGGAAATCTAATTAATCTGAGTCTCACTGAATTTCATCTTTACTTCCCTCCCATCGATGGAGAGTTTGTTGGGGAAATGTTAACACACAGCAACAAAGAACAATAGTAGATAATTAACAATCCAAGATAACAAAGAGTTAGCCATACAGTTATAATTATACTGAAGCTTATTCACATACCCTTTGTTTTATATCAGGATTTGAGGTCTCCTGGAGGAAAAACATGATTTTAATTAAATATCAAATGGGTAGTTAAACCTCTCTACTATATTACTTTATTATTACATTACGCTTCGTAGAAAGCTGGAGCCCATGTAATTATTCAGGGAATCACATCTGTTTATTTCACTTACACACATATTTTCAAGTCTAAACAAAATGTACAAATGTAAATGCTGTATTTTTTAACTTCCCATTTTCTATCCTTAAAGCATTGATTTCTTGGACCTAGCAAAAGGAAACTTTTTAAGTAATTGCATTAGAAACTTTTATAATTAATGCAATCAATCATAATTGAAGAATGTCATGATTTCTTTTTAAATTAGAAGGCTTTATTATTGAAAATAGTTGTTAGTACAGTTTATTTACACTCTAAACTTAAAGAAATAAGTAAGGCACTTCGTTGTATTGGCTTCTGAATTTGCTGTTTCTTGCCTACAACAAAACAAGTCACTCTGAGTTTATCCTCAAGGCTCAAAGCAAGAGTTTGGACTTTATCATAGGTTTCAGTCCTAATTTAATTTTTTAAAATAATTTTTTAATGTTTCTTTTTAAGAGAGAGAAAGCATGTGTTGGAGAGGGGTAGAGAGAGAGGGAGACAGAATCCTAGGCAGGTTCCAAGCTCTGAGCTCTCAGTGCAGAGCCCAATGTCGGGCTCGAACTCACAAGCTGCGAGATCATGACCTGAGCCAAAGTTGGACGCTTAACGGACACAGCCACCCAGGCACCCCTATTTCAGCCCTAATTTTAGAGATAAAGAGATACAAAAGTTCTTAATCTGGAGACATTTAGAATGGCTTTTGTAGTTTTCTCTAGAAAAGGGATAAATAGGCTGGCAAACTTTAAGACCATCACAGCATCCTTTAAATCTATCATGACCATATTGTACAAAATGTTTACATTCCATACCTTATCAATGTACAAAATACCAGTGCCACTGACATCAATGGAACTTCACAGGCAATGGAATGAATTACTAAGCCTTGTCAAAATAGGCATTTTCCAGGGTGGCTGAGTGGCTTAGTCAGTTAAGCATCCGACTTCGGCTCAGGTCATGATCTCACAGTCCATGCGTTTGAGCCTCGCGTCAGGCTTGTGCTGACAGCTAGCTCAGAGCCTGGAGCCTGTTTCAGATTCTGTGTCTCCCTCTCTCTTTGCCTCTCCCCTGCTTGCTCTCTGTCTCTCAAAATAAAACTGACATAAAAAATTTCTTTTTAAAAATAGGCATTTTCCATCTGCTTTAAAATGTTAGAATTGTCCAACTATAAATAAAAGAATGCAGTTTCTTGCCTTGTATTATTTAACAGGTTGACTACTGCCTAATAAAGCACAAATCTCATAGACAAGACTTTCCTTGTTTTTTTTTAAAAAAGAATGCATAAAATGTAAAACAATCTTACATTATAGGTAAGTCTAAATTATAGGTAAGAAATAACGAAAACCAAGGGACATAGGAGAGTGGTGAATTTTCAAATATTAATAACCTATGAGATTTGTAGGTTATTTCCTTGGTTCACTGTTTTCTATAATTTAAATTGTAATGTATTTTAAATATAATATTTAATGTATTTAAATTTTTAAGTAATATTTTAAATTAATAGAATTTTCATGTAAGTTGGCTTTTTCTCATTTGTATCCCTTTAAAGTTCACATTTTTATTTTAATACTTTTTCTTTCAAAACATAACTCAAAAATGGGTAAAATGCCCAATGGGAAGTTTTATTTACAGAGTAGAAAAACTGAAAAGAAAATAGACACATTCCTCACAAATTCAGAAGGGACAAAAATCTGATATTTCAAGTAGCCTCCGGTCTCCCTGAAAGCATTTGATAATCGGATATAAAGTTTTATATAGTAATCTTAATAGGCAGATTAATGTTAACGTGCTCTGGGTCTAGTTGTAATTGCATACATCTTAAAATATAATGAAAGAATGATTGATTTGGTAATGTTGAAACTAGTAATTAAACCAACCCCAACAAACGACGGTCATTATTTCATTGGAAATATTTACACGCAATTATAGTTGCAGAGTTCTTGCAGTTGTTTCTTGTCATCGTCCTGATTTTTCACTTCCCCAACGTAAACGTTCGGGAAAACTAACATTTTCCCTCCTTTTTGGTATGATGGAGGGAAGACCTTCAGGAAAGAAACACAATTGCAGACGTTTAGAAGCTGATGGCTTTAAGGTTCATTTTGTTGCTAAGATTTTGTGTTTCTTTTTTTTTATTTTAATGTTTTATTTATTTCTAGGAGAGAGATAGAGAGAGACAGCGTGAGCAGGGGTCAGAGAGAGAGGGAATCACAGACTCCGAAACAGGCTCCAGGCTCCGAGCGGGCAGTCAGCACAGAGCCCGACGCGGGGCCCGAACCCACGAACCGCGAGATCATGACCCAAGCGAAAGTCGGACGCCCAACCGACTAAGCCACCCAGGCGCCCCAAGATTTTGTGTTTCTTAAATCAAAATGAGTTTTCCCTTAAAGTCCCCACGCCACTTTGCCGAAGCCCCAGTGCCTAGTGGCCCCTGCCCATTTCTGACCGTTAACTACGCTCCTGGCCGCAGTTTCAGTGTCGCAGGTCCCTCGCTCCCTGCTCCCGCAGGAGCCCGCAGAGTCCAATGGCCCAGGCGGCCGAACCCGGGGTCGCTGGCTCGCGGCCCGAGTCCCCGCGGCCCACCCGGCCCCAGGCCCTTCAGGACGATCTGAGGCTTCTCTCAAAACACCCCTCAAGAGCATTCCTTTCAGTCGTTCATTCAACAAATATTCCATTTCATGTGCTCCTCCCTCTTCGGAAAACCAGGTCGGGCCTCACTTTGCAGGACTGTCCTCGCCCCGTTAAAGACCCGGGGAGGATGACTCTCGTCCTTTCCTTAGCAAACACCTTCCCGATCTGCCGCCGCGAGCACTACTTTGTCTCTCTTCCCTTAAGCCTTCACTGCCCCCTCCTCCCCGCCGCCAAATAGTGGCAAATAGTGACGGCGGCCACACTCTGTTGTTCTTGCCTCCACACCAGCCTCACGCCACGTTCCTCCACCCGGCGAGGGGGGTACCCTCTCCCCAAGCCAGCGAGAGAGGCTCGCGGCCGCAGCCGGGGCGCCTCGAGTCCAGGCCTCGGACACCTCCGGGCTGGCGGCGGGTTGGCGAATCGCTGCCGAGCGTTGTAGCCCCCGGGGATCTCCGTGGGACCTTTCCTTTTAGCCCCGAGGCCCAGCTGCCCGCGCCGCGCGGCGGAACTACAACTCCCAGCACCGCAGTCGCCCGGACTTCCGGAAGCCGACGCCGGGCGGGCAGGAAGCCGCCGAGACCCGGCCAAAAGGCCGGGGGTAAATTTAGCCAGAAAAGAGGGGGCGGGCAGGGCTGCAGGGCTAACCTGTCACTTCGCCACCATGAACGTGGTTTTTGCCGTGAAGCAGTACGTTTCCAAAATGATAGAGGACAGCGGGCCGGGCATGAAAGTACTTCTCATGGATAAAGAGACGGTGAGTTTGCTTCGCTCCGTGTCTGTGGGGTACCCTGCCTCCCTCACGCCTGCTACTCCCACTCCGCTGTAGGATTTGGTGTTTAGTGAAAGATTTTGAAACGAGGGTCAGTTCTGCGTGGAACTGAAAGGTGGAATAAAGCCTGTCGAGTAGCTTTCCAGTCTCAATGGCCCGAACTGCTGCCAGAGATTTCTTCTTGTAACCCGGAACGACTTACTGGATTCAGGAATCTTTTGTAAATGTCTCTGGCAAGAAGTAGTATGTGAGCCAGAGCGCTTGGAAGACTTTTTATTTCCACTCAGCGTCGTCTTTTGAAAAGAAAGCCAGGAGTGCTCAAGCTGAGATGACAGGTTATTCTTTGTTGATCACAGAATCTAAGGTGGTTGGGGAAAAATTTTGTTTTGGGAATGTATGGATTGTGTTGCGAGAGAACGTCATTCTGGTACATTACCTATATTTGTCGGATGCTCAGTAAGTGTTAATACATAGGTTAGTAAGTGTTAGTAATCCAGCCAAGTGTTAATAAAAAAATAATTTTTAAAGGCTTAGGCAGTGTTGCTTGTTTGTATTACTTCTGACTAGCATAATATTAGTTCATTCTTTCTCTTCACAGACTGGCATAGTGAGTATGGTATACACACAATCGGAGATTCTTCAGAAGGAAGTGTACCTTTTTGAACGCATTGATTCTCAAAATCGAGAGATCATGAAGCACCTGAAAGCAATTTGTTTTCTTCGCCCTACGAAGGTACAACATAAACCGAGCTGTCATCTGCCCAGGCACATACAGAACGCTATGCTCTGAAAGCATTAAGAAGGCAAAATAAATTTGTCTTACCATCATTTGTGGCATCGTATTTAGCCTGGTTCATCAGAGTTATAACCTCGACTTTTCTCCTTTCCACATCTCCGTTCACTCCTTATAGCCCATTTTGCCTCCAAGGTGGCTTGCAGGTTCTCAGCTACTTCCAAAGCCACGAACTCCAGAATTGACAGACCCACATCGGTTTATTCCTGGAGCGCCCTTCATACCTATTACCCTGACCACCATTGCCACTTAATCTTGTACATTTACATACCTACACCAGTATCCGGAATCTTTTATCGTTTTATTCACGTTTATGCACAGAAACATGATTGTGGCTCACTTTTACTTCCGTGATTAAATCAATATGTAGTAGCTCAGCCCTCACAGCCCTCCTTAACTGGTTTGGTCTGCCCTTATGTACACAGCCTCCTGTGTCCAATCTCTGCTCACCCACTATAACCAACCAGGCCTTTTCATCAGCCCATGCTCGTTCCTGTTCTCGATTTGTTCTCTTCCCCTAATTCTCCATTTGTTCTTTAGCTTTCTGTCCATTTACATCCATCATTTTATAAATCTAGCTTGCGTCCTCCTGTAAAAATCCTGTACTATTTCAATCTTATTTAGTATATTTCCCTTTTGTTTTAATGTTTATTGTTGAGAGAGAGAGAGGGTGCAAGCAGGGGAGGGACAGAGAGGGAGACATAGAATCTGAAGGAGGCTCCAGGCTCTGAGCTGTCAGCCCAGAGCCCAATACAGGGCTCGAACTCCCGAACCGTGAGATCATGACGTGAGCTGAAGTCAGACGCTTAACTGACTAAGCCACCCAGGTGCTCCTGTATATTTTCTTTATATTCATCTTCTTCAACTCCAATGCACTGTTTTACCATGCTTGTATATAATGTACTTTCTGAAATACAAATCTGATCACGTCCTCCCCACTTGAAATCCTTGAATGACTTCTTCTTTTTATGCTAAAGACAAAACTCCTTAATTGTGGTTCTGTATGGTCTAGTTCCTGTCATTTGTACAACCTCATTTCAAACCACGCCCCCGTGGTCTTGGACACATTAATCTTTCAGTTCACTTTATTCTGTCGTGCCATAGGACTTTTGAACAGACTCTTCTCTCTGCCTGGGATGTATTCACTTCCTCCAGAAAGCCTTCCCTGATTTTGCCGACCACGCCAAAGCCCCCTCTTTGGGGCTTATAGCACCAGTATTTATACAGCACTTACAGCACCTGCTTCTCCCCATTGCTTGTCATAGTCGAAGTTTTATAGAGTTTGCGTGATTAATATCTGTCTTACCTACCAGCCTTAAGCTCCATGAGAACAGAGGTGGTATATGTTTTTTCACACTACTATGTCTCCCGTGCCTGCTACAGGTGGGGACCTCAGTAAAGAGTTCCTGAATGAAGGAATAACATTAATACTTTGTTATAGTCATTTCTCATTGTTTCACATTTGTAGCTCTTGAAATTTTGGTGCCGGAAGGGATCTTAGAGGTCATCTAGTCCATCTCCTAAGATTTTCATTAGAAAAATCTCTTTCACAGCTATATATATACTCTCTCAAACTAAAAGCGATTTTTCCTTAAAATTACAAAGTTAATTTTTAATGTATTTTTAACCTAAATGACAATTCAGAAAACCCTTTTCTCATTTAACAAGTGATGTGCATTGCTTACGCTATTTTTAACTCTTTAAAGACGTGTGATTTTTTTTTTTAAACATTCAGAACTGCATTTTATATCATGTCTAGTTTGGGGACCAAATTCATATAGAAATTTAACTATTAACAAGTTAATAGTTAAATTTCTAATCAGAAATGGATAACCTGCATTATGATCCTATGTAATTGGAATTCTTATGTTTACTTCTAGATTTCATATTTTATTTTTAAATAATGTAGTTATATGAAAGGGTTTAGCCTGCTGTGTGCAAATACTTCACAGACATTATAGTCATACAATCTTACGTCCCAATAAGTTAAAAGCCAAAGCAAATACAGTTAAGTATATTTTCTCTTGAATGGTGGGTTTTAAAGAATTAGCTACATTTTGATAGTCTATGTAAGAATTTTGATCAGATGAATACTTTATAGGCCAGCTGCCTGAGGCAAATTTGTAGAGTTAATTATCAATTTTATGTTGTAGTTCAATGTCTGTGTTTTTAATATTTTTCATGTTTTATTTATTTTTGAGAAAGAGAGAACGCAAGCAGGGGAGGGGCAGAGAGAGAGGGAGACAGAGGATCCAAAGTGGGCTCTGTGCTGAGAGCAGAGAGCCCCACGCAAGACTCAAACTCAACAAACTGTGAGATCGTGACCTGAGCTGAAGTTGGATGCTTAACCGACTGAGCTATGCAGGTGCCCCTGTGTTTTTAATATTTTAAAATCTTAATTTGGCCAAGGAAATGCAGCTAGTTAATATTATGGATGATTCCTGAATATTTAATACATCTCTTTTTTACTACCAGCCCTCATCCCTGCAATATACAAACACTTAACCTAGACCTCAGCGCGCAGTGGATTCTCACTAAATACTGAAATAAATAAATTTTTTACTTAAGCAGTTCTCCTCATATATTGTTTGTTTATTCCTTACTTTCTAGGAGAATGTGGATTATCTGATTCAAGAGCTCCGAAGACCAAAATACAGTATATATTTTATTTGTAAGTATTTTATTTCACCTATTCAGTCATGTAACCATATCCTAGATACTTTGTTCTGTTGGGCACTGCATATCATCAAGTTAACTGAATCTATCACTCTATGAGTCTGAGTTTTTTAATGTCCTTTCAAAGTTCTATTTTAGAAAGCTAAGCATGACTTTTTTCATCATTGATTGATTATGTAAAAATGATTTTTTAACTTTTCCTTTGCCATTCAAGATTCTTTGTAAGTCAAAAGTTATAAGTAGCCAAATTTCACATCCCATCTCTGCCCCCCCAAAAATTTTTTTTAAAGGAAGGGTACACTTATTTCCTATTTTATACTTTCATGAACGGAGGCACAGAGGCTGATTTATTTACTTGGAGGGAGGATATACTTGAGTTTGTTGGAAAAGCAGAGATTTACTTTACGTACCAGATGGAAACATTCCAGTTCTCTTTGCTCCTTTATGTAATACTTGAAAGAATAAGTCATTCAGTAGATGCCTCTTATGTACATAATTTGGGGGAGGGGGCTTGGGAGAAGGTAGAGTCCTGGAAATAAACTAGGTTTGTGACTAATATACATTTTATATGAATTTCTTTTTTCTTTTTTTTTTTTTTTTATGTAATACATTCTGCTTTGGAAGTTACATCCTTTCTCCTCTAGATGTCATTATTGATCTTTATAGGATTAGTAAGTATAGTTTATTTGGTACCATTTCCAAAACCAAAGACAAAACTTAACTCTCAGTATGTAGGACATTTGAGAAATTTTGAAGCTTGCTTGAAGGCTATTTTAGGGTTTAGATTACACTCTAAGATATACATACTTTCTATACCATATGCAAATGATACCAAAAATTAACATTTGTCAGGTGCCTGGGTGGCTCAGTCGGTTAAGCATCCGACTTCGGCTCAGGTCATGATCTCATGGTTCATGGGTTCAAGCCCCATGTTGGGCTCTGTGCTGACAGCTAGCTCAGAGCCTGGAGCCTGTTTTAGATTCTGTCTCCCTCTTTCTCTGCCCCTCCCCTGCTCACGCTCTGACTCTCAAAAATAAACAAAATTTTTTTAAATAAAAAAAATTAACATTTGTGATAAGACTGTATTTTTATTTATTTTTTTAATGTTTATTTTTGAAGGAGAGAGACAGAGTGTGAAAGGGGGAGGGGCAGAGAAAGAGAGAGACACAGAATCTGAAGCAGGCTCCAGGCTGTGAGCTGTCAGCATGGAGCCCAATGTGGGGCTTGAACTCACAATCCATGAGAACATGACCTGAGCCATACTCGGATGCTTAACTGACTGAGCCACCCAGGTGCCCCGATAAGACTGTATTTTATAGAGAACTTCCTCATATATTATCTGAATCAGCCCTTATAACAACCCCAAGGGGTAAAAATTGGCAATTTTATTAGTTTCTGTCATCCTAGCTTTTTTTGTTTGTTTGTTTTGGCTGATAGTCACAGGTTTTCTTTTATAATTTAACATTTCTGAGATAATTGTATTCATATATGGTTGTAAGAAATAAGACAGAAATCCCATTTATTTTTAAACCCATTTCACCCAGTGTAGCATCTCATATAACTATAGTACAATACCACAGCCAGGATATTAACATTGATGCAGTCAAGGTACCAAATATTTCTGGGGCACCTGCATGGCTAGGTAGGTTAAGGATCCAGCTCTTGACTTCGGCTCAGGTCATGGTCTCACAGTTAACGCGTTTGAGCCCCGCATTGGGCTCTGCGCTGACAGCGTGGAGCCTGCTTGGGATTCTCTCCCCCCCCCCCTCTCTCCCCCTCCCCTGCTCATGCTCTCTCTCTCAAAATAAATAAACATTGAAAAAGTATGTATTTCCATCTCCATAAGGATCCTTCCTATTGCCCTTTTATAGCCAGATCCACTTCCCTCCCACCAGCCCCCTCAGTAACCCCTGGCAACCACTAATCTGTTTTCTATTTCTGTAGTTTTGTCATGTCAAGAATGTTCTATAAATGGAATTACACAGCATTTAACTCTTTGGGATTGGCTTTTTTCACTCAGCATTCCTTAGCGATTCACTCAGGTGGTGGTGTGTATCAGTAGCTCATTCCTTTATTTTAATCAAAACTATTTCTATGATGGAAGTTTTCAAATGTATACAGAAGCAGACAATAGTATAATAAATTCCACGGTACCCATCACCCAGTTTCAAAAATCGCTTTGCCACAGCCTGTCTTGTTTTCGCAATGCCGCTGCCACTTCCTCCACCCCCCACCAGTGTTACTTTGAAGGAGATCTAAGACATCGTGTGTGTTCATCCCTAAATATTTCAGGATGCATCTCTAAAAGATAAGGCCTCATTTTTATAAATACCGTTATTATAGCCAAATAATGACAAATAACTCCTATTTTCAAATATTCATTCAGTGTTCAGATTTCAAATTCTCATATGGTTTTGTTTTGGATTTTTTTTTCCCAGTTTTCCATTTGAATTAGGATCGTAGTAAGGTCTACACATTGCTATTGGCTGATATGTTGTTTAAGTTTCTTTAATCTTCTATAGGTGTTCTCCCTCTCCCTCCCTCCCTCTCTCTTTCTTTCTCTCTTAACCCCCCCCCCTTGTACAATTTATTTATTGAAGAAACTCCATTGTTCTGTTTAAGTTTCTCACAGACTGCATCTTGTTGATTGTGTCCCCATGGAGTAGTTTAACAAATTCTTTGCAGTTTAAAATATTCCTCTATTCTCTAGTTTTGTAAATTGGTACTTGGATATAGAGACTTAATTAGATTTAGATTTTATTTCTTTTTGCCAAGAATATTTCATAGTCGGTGGTGTGTGCTTTCATCGATTGTCTCTTATTGTGATAATTAGCAGCAGTTGGTGCTCAGTGCCTGGGTCCGTTTTTGATTCATCAATGGCTGACAAAAATGATGATATTTTGATTCTGTTGTCATCATTCCTTCTTTGTTTTTTTAGCTGGAATATTTCCATAAAGAGAAATTTCCCCTCATCTTCTATTTGGTTATCTGGTGGTACAGTTTGTGTGTGAGAGAATTAAAGTGTACTTCTTTCCTTTAATTTTGTATTTTCAGTATAATGACTTGCTTCCTGGGTATCCTCCAAAGCCTGCATAGTGGTCTTTTTTTTTTTTTTTTTTTAGTAGTATTATGGATTTCTGAATTCAAACATACTTGTGCTACCCATTTCCATTTGAAGGTGTTTAACTTTGACATATACCACAATGTATCCAGACTTCGCTTAGTCATTTATTAACTGTCAAGCCTATTTATTTCTAATTGCAGCAAAGGTGATCTCCTTTGAATCAACTGCAACTCATATGTCTGTTTCAGATTTCAGTAATGTGATCAGCAAGAGTGATGTGAAGTCATTGGCTGAAGCTGATGAACAGGAAGTTGTGGCTGAAGTTCAGGTACACACGGGTCCTCTAACACATCGCTCAGAGTGACCCTTTTTAAAGATTTGCCTCTAAAATAAGAAGAGTGCTGTCTCAAGGGACCCTGTTGATCAGACCCACTAAATGTGCATAAACCTGTTCTTATATTTAGAAAGTTTGTAAGAGGTATCAAACTGAGTGGAAACAAACTTAAAGGAATCATTTGGAATAGGGAGATTGGACTGGTTGGTATTGGATCCCTACTGAACGGGTCAGGAGGGTTTCATAGGGTTGGGGACAGAGTCAGATATATCTTCTGCTTGTTTTATGAACCACATTGTAAGAATGTTCGTCTACAGGGCTATGTCTGATTGGGAAAGAATAGACAGTAAAGGAAGTGAATGAGGTTTGTTAAAGGTCTGTTTATGATTATCTTGCTCTGGGAGGTAAAAAGCATACTTTTGTCATCAATTGAAAACTTAGAAACTTCTAAATATTTTGCATGGCATAGAATACATCGCACTAGAACGTACCATGTTACCTTTTGCTTCTTAAACACTTGAGTGTTCTTGAACACGTTTATCAGAGATGTTTGAATACATTTATCACCTAAGTGAAGACCTAGGGCAGCAAATAAACGAATTTTGGATTTTCAGAAAGATGTGTTAGGCGATAAATGAATAAAAAAGAATGACTTATTTTAAATCATATTCTGCCTTGTGAGAAAATACTCGATTAAAAAAAAAAAAAGAATACACTGAACAGCAACGTTCTTCATCTGTCTGTGACATTGTATAACCTGTAGCAGTGTCTTATTTTTACTCATGGATACGTGTGCACAGAGGTCTCCAGAAACGTAATATATATACCTCTACGGCTTTGTGTTTTGTTTCTTGAAAGATTTATTATTATTGCTACTGTATTATAATTTTTGTATTCCCCCACATTGACTATCATGACTCAATTATTAATTAATCCATTTTTTAAATCTTTTACACCTGCATTTGTTCAAATTTGATTGTATCACATAGTGTTATGTCACATACGAAAATATTACTTGATGGTACGGTTGGAATTTATGAAATGACTGACTGATCTCGTGCTTCATTTGCAGGAATTCTATGGTGATTACATTGCCGTGAATCCACATTTGTTTTCCCTCAATATTTTGGGTTGCTGCCAGGTATGGAACGAAAAGGATAAAAAAATAAGTTTATCACGTGGGAGTTGATTCAGCAAGTTGATTGGACTTGTAAGAAAAAAATGCAAATGTTTTCTCTGAATATACATTTTTAACACAAAGGGTCGGAACTGGGATCCAGCCCAGCTATCCAGAACCACGCAAGGACTGACGGCTCTCCTTTTATCTCTGAAGAAATGTCCCATGATTCGGTATCAGCTTGCATCAGAGGCAGCAAAGAGACTTGCAGAATGTGTTAAGGTACAGCTTTTTCTATCCCCGGTTCCAAAGCCCATTCATTTCCTTATCAGATTTCAGAAACCATAGGAATAGTTTATCTGTAACCAGTGAGGTTTTATTGGCAAAGAGGCAGATACTTGTAATAAAAAACCAAAAGCAACAAATTAGAGCTGAGATTCTTAGGCTCAACTCAAAAAACATTTGCAAGCCATTCAACCTATTTTGATCCAGTTAAGCCATTTGTCAAATAGTTTTAAATCCTCACCTCTTAAACAGGATGCTACCCGACATCAGACTTTTGAGTCCTTATCTGGAAGGCCTCTGAAGACGCAAAGAGCTATTGTTAAATGCATATTTTACGTATGAATTTTCTGGTTACATCATCTCTGTCTGCAACTCATTGGTTGACCAAACCGTCTTTCTCTCTCGTCCACAGCAAGTAATAACTAAGGAGTATGAACTGTTTGAATTCCGGCGGACTGAGGTTCCCCCGTTGCTGCTTATTTTAGATCGTTGCGATGATGCCATCACCCCATTGCTAAACCAGGTGCGAAACCTTTACTAGCCTTGTAGCAGTACGAGTCCAAGGGGCATTCATCAGAAATGCCCATGTGGAAATGTACGGTGTCATCCACGTGTTCGCCTCCGTATCTTCAGCTTTTCTTTTTTTTTTTTTTTTTTTTTGCCTTGTACTTCCTACTGCTCAGGTATCCCTGTTCTTCCATTCACAGCCGTCTTCGGTTCTTTCTTCAGCTTCGTCCTTCCTGTCCCTCTGTGCCACCACCTCCACCCCTAATCAAAGCCACTTCTAGCTTCTGTAGATTCTACTTTTCCACCGTCTGTCTGCAGGTTTCCATTCTTACTGCCATTACCTTGGTGTACACCCTGATGTGTTACAAGATTACTGAAATACTCATCGACTTGATCCCGCACTTATTTTCTTTTATCATATGAGAACAGATCTATACTTTGATTTACCTTTCAGTAAGTTTAAGTCCTTGAGGGCACAGTTGCTTCGGAACTGGCATGGACCAGGCCGCTATCTCCTGGACTAGGAGCTCTCTTTCCCCAGACTCCTCTGGTTGTGTTCGTTTCGCCACCAGGAGTCGCTGTGGCCTTCTTTCCTCTGTACACATGAGCTCATCTCTGGCCTAGATAGAATTCCCTTTCATCCTGAGCATCAGCGCCTTTGGTTTCAAGAGCTGTGTGCTCCCTTTGGTTCTGGAGACCCTGCTTACAGTAGCCGGCAGAAATGGCCTTGGACCACAGCCTTCCAGGCATATTTGTCATTGTAGAAGTCCTGTTCCCAGCAGGCCTCCATAGGCTCCAAGACGACTGAAACAGAAAGGCCTCAAGTCCCCACTTTTAATTTCTTCCCACTCTAATATAGTCCACAGACACAATGTTGTTAAATTACTTTATATATTTATTTATATTTTGAGAGTGAGAGAGAACATGAGTGGGGAAAGGGCAGAGAGAGAGAGGAAGGGAGAGAATCCCAAGCAGGCTCCACACTGCCAGCACGGAGTCCGACATGGGGCTCGAACCCACAAAACCCTTGAGATCGTGACCTGAGCCGAAATCAGGAATCGGATGCTTGACCAACTGAGCCACCCAGGCACCCCTGAACTTACTTCTCCTAAAGCACAGTTCTGATCTTTTCGCTCCAGACTTAAAAGTCTTCGTTGGTTCCCATTTGCCTACTGGCTTATATACAGACTCCTGAACTTGGCATCTAAGAGCCTTAATGATATAGGGCCATCGTTAGCCTACAGCTTAGTACTCCGCAGGTGTGCCATGTGGTTTCCAGCCATTATTTTATTCATGTTGGGACCTCTGTCTAAACTCTGGAATGTTTAGAATACCTTCTCTCCCTATCGTCACCTATCAACATTCTTCTCCTTTAAAACCACTCAAAACGTCTCCTTGAAGTGTTTTATCATTGTAGTCAGACATGTTCTTTTTTCCTTAAAATTACTACAGAACTCTGTGTTTTGTGCTGCACTTACCATGCTGTACCTCTGATTGTTTTCTCACATTCCTTCAAGGCAGACTGTGTCTTACCTGTGTTTGTTCTTCTGCAAGTAGAAGAACTGTACCTTATACAAAGCAGAGGCTTTATTAGTAGTGACTTTGAATTCATAGGGAAAGGTGTAGTCTATGTTTCAGTGTCTTCCCAGCTTATAATCGTGCCAGGAGAAATCTTTGACTGTGGAGTGCAACTTCTCTATGCTAGGTTAGCCTTATGGTCCTAAAACACAAAGTGATATATGTTTGCTAAAGACATTTTGATAATATAAAAAAGTAGAAAGAAAGAAAAATGATTGCCTATAATTCTGTTTCCCAAAGAAAAACAACCATTCATTCAACAAACGAAGACCAATCATGTTCCAGATGTTGTGTTAAGGATTGGAGTTAAAAGTCTCTGTTCTCAAAGAGCTCATGATGCAGTGGGGAGAGAAGTAAACTGATAATTGTTTTAAAATGTTTATTTTTGAGAGAGAGAACACGCGAGCAGGGGAGGGGCAGAGAGAGAGGGAGACAGAAGACCTGAAGCAGACTCTACACTGATAGCACAGGCTCGAACCCACGAACCATGAGATCATGACCTGAACCGAAGTTGGACGCTTAACCAACTGAGCCACCCAGGTGGCCCAGCTGATAATTTTAATTATAGAGTGAGTGCTAATGGTAGAAGCATGCTGTCTGTGTACAACATTTTGTTGTACTTAGTTTACGTGCCCCAATTGAAACTTGCTTTTTGTTTTTTTAAGGATTCATTTGGCAAATGTTTTTGGAAATGAAGCACCTTCTTTTATAACCTCTTAAGTTCTTCCATAATAAGTCTGTATTGCTTAAGATAAAGTAAAAGTGTATATATCTTCCTAGCATTTAGATTCTAGAGTTAGAGGATAATTTGCTGGAAAATACTTAAGGCTTGTCTAAAGGACCTAGGACTAAAGCAACCCATTGTCCATAAATGGTGCGAAGGCAAAATTTGTAGTTTCTCCTTTCCACTTTTTGCCAGGTAAGTTCACATTTTATAAGAATGGAGACCAATCCTCCTTCACACTTCATAGGCAGGAAAAATATGAAATCAAATGGATACAGAGGCAAGCTTCTGCATATGTGTGTTTTGATCAACTTACACGGTTTTTTTCTGATAATATTAGTGTTCCCAGGATAAATATAGCACCACTCAGATCTGCAAGAACACACTTCTCAGGCTGCAGAAAACCACAGAAGCGCACAGGAAATGGTACAGCTCGTAACTGCAGTACCAATATAGCCCTATCTGTGAATCCAAAAATATACCCTTAATTCACAGGCAAAAAGCAGAGCTAATGATAGATCTAATTCGTTTTCTTTCCATCAGGAATATTAATCTCCCCGCCCTTCTTCCAAACGTATAAAATCTAAAAGCATGTTGACTTTTAGTTTAACCAACTACAGCGTCTTAATGCTTCGTATAACACAAAGTATTAATAAAACTTGAACTAAATAAAGAGCCTCTGTGTACAGAGGCCTAGTTGCTGAGAATATTACCAGTTTTTATTTGTTTTCCTGAACATTTGCTGTTTCCATGTTTTGTCGGTCACTGATTTTTCTGTCCTCATTCTTCATTTAGTGGACCTACCAGGCCATGGTCCATGAGCTACTGGGCATAAACAACAATCGGATCGACCTTTCCAGAGTGCCGGGGATCAGTAAAGATTTGCGAGAAGTGGTCCTGTCTGCCGAAAACGATGAATTCTATGCTAATGTAGGTGGTTAAAACTTTTTTTAAATTGTTCTTCATTGTTTTTATGTAAGAAGGCCACTACTGACTTGTTCGAGTGAAAACAGATGTGGAATTTCATGCGGAAGGATGATAGAAGCATCCCGCAGATAAGCTGCATCTCACGAGAAGGCGGACGATTTGGATTCGGACTCTTTAACAGTTTTTTTCCATAGAAATCACATATTTACTGTTATACTTTCATAGTTAGACCCGATTTATTTACTTCCTTCCCTTCTGTAGCCCTTTGTGAGAATAGTAATGGCGTTCACCACCCATGTCCTGGCCACTCTCCAGATTTGGTCATTAGAATGGAATTTTCTTGCCTTTCAATTCCGTCTTTGGGATGCTTTCTCACTTCTTTTAAATGATCTGAAAGTCAGACTCATTGCGAGAACTGGATTTTCAACTTCCGTTTTCACAGAATATGTACCTGAACTTTGCTGAGATTGGTAGCAATATAAAGAATCTCATGGAAGATTTTCAGAAGAAGAAACCAAAAGAACAGCAAAAACTAGAATCAATAGCAGACATGAAGGTAAATTGAACATGTTCATGGATGACTAACATGCAAGACTTTGGAACTATTCGTGTAAGCAACATTTCTGGAATATTCTCAGTCTGATTTCTGCCTTGATTCATTTTGTTTGGTTTGAAATAATTTTCTGTACCGTTTCTCCTTAGGAAACAGTGTAGTGAAAACTTCATAACAAGCCATGTGTTTCTGTCCATTCTTCAGTCACATTTGGACTATTTAAAGAGTCAGTCTACTGACCTTTACCAGTTCTTCTCTTTTTAAGCATAAACAAAATACCATGTGATTGGTAGATGCCTTAGTCTGGGCAGAACAATTCCTGCTTATTTTTTCCCTTCTTTGTACATGTATGTCCGCAGTCAAGAACTAACAGAAACCCCGTTTGATGTTTTTCCCATGGCAGGCCTTTGTCGAGAACTACCCACAGTTTAAGAAGATGTCTGGGACTGTATCAAAGCACGTGACAGTGGTCGGAGAGCTGTCACGGTTGGTCAGTGAGCGGAATCTGCTGGAAGTGTCAGAAGTTGAGCAAGAACTGGCCTGTCAAAATGACCATTCTAGTGCTCTCCAGGTATCTATTCAGTCCAATTTGATGGGCACCTACTATGTGTGAGGCACTGTGCCAGGCAGAGCAAGAGATACAAAGGCACGTAACCCTTCCTCACCAGTGTGGAATTGGTTATGTAACAAGGAGTTGAGACAGGAGCACAGGTTAATTTGAGTTAAGATAGATACACGTTAAGAGCCACAGGAGAAGAATAATGTGCAGTCGCCGAGGGTTCAGGCTACTGAGTTAATGAGTACTTACAAGGGCACCCCAGGCTGCTAGAAAGAGCACTAGGCTGAAATCAGAAGATCTGGATTTTAGCCGTTTGCCACTTACTGGCTTTGTGACTATCCAAGTTTTTTATTATCGAACACCCCCTCTTCATTCCATAAACATGTGAATGCCCGCTACATGTACATAGCGCTGTAAGGATCTGCAGATACGAAGAGGAAACCGATACTATACTTTTCCTCAAAGAGCGCACACATATGAGGGAAGAAAGAGATTTAAACCAGGAATTACCATATGAGAACCGCTGTTATGCTAGAGGTATGTACAAAAGGATATGGAAATACGGAGGAAGGACAGGTGTTTTCCCTAAGGATGAGGCTTCGGAAAGAAGACATTAGATCGGGTCTGGCCAAGTAGTCGGAGTGCACCAGACAGAGTAGAAGTGTACCAGCCAGAGAGAAGAGGGGAGACTCTTAGCATTGAGAATGCAGGCGTGGAGATGTGGGGGGAAGTTCAGGGAACAGAGAGTAATTCAGTGTAGCTAGTGCAGGGGACGAGACGGGGAGTGGTCTTGGATAAGCCAGAAAGGCCGGGCCCAATTATGGCCACTGAAAGGAGATGGGGCTTCAATCTTAAAATGTTGAGAGCTACCAGAGCAAGGGACATAATCAGACCCTGGCCTTAAGAAATTTGCAGCACTGTTGAAGGGACAAAACTAAAATGCGAGAAACACTTAGTGTTCCGAGGTAATATTTAATTAAGGCAAAATTGTGGTGCTGACTATAATAAGATTAGAAGTCATTAAGAGAAGTCCCTTAGAGAAGGTGGCATTAAGATAGACCATCAAGAATGAATGGAATCTGGAGGAGGTTTTCTTTGAGGGTTAACAGAAAAGCAAAGATGCAGAAGTATGCAAAAAGTAATAAACCATGTGAGAGTGGGTGTGGAAGAAATAGGAGGTAACATTGAATCGGTAAACAGGAACCATTTATGAAGACGCTGGTCACAGGAATTTGCACTTGCTGAGATAAGCAAAGAGATCCATTGTGGGGTCATATGCAGAAGGTCGATACGATGAAAGCAGTATTTTAGGAAATTTAATCTAGTAAGGCTGCTTTAGAGGTGAAAAAACTGAAGTTAGGCTGGTAGACTCCTAGTGAGTACTAAAAATGTACAGTAAGGGCAAATCCGGGAGACAATTCAAAGGAACAAAACAACAATTTAGCAACAGATTGGATATAAGGATACCAAGACAGAACAAATCCAGTAATTCCAAGCCTCCTGAGAAATGACAATGTGGTGTCACTGGCAATAAGTCACCTGGGAATGAGAGTCCTTTGGGAGGTGGCCGTTTCTAAGGCACTCTCATAATTTCTTATTTATAGGGCTTCTAGTCTATAACTTGGTCTCTCTCTTTCCCGGCTGCAATTCAGCTTTATAAAATAAAGCCAGCGTGGTAGAATGGAAACAGCACAGGCTTTGGAGCCAGACGGTCCTGGTTTTTACTCTAGAGTTTATGTACTAGAGGTTTTTTGTGTTTGTTTGTTTGTTTGTTTGTTTTGAGGAAATTACTTATTTTTCCCAAGCCTCAGGGGTAAAGATTTCAAACTTTTAGATTCTTACCAGGATTTGGTGAGATCTGTAAAATCCTTCACATATGACAGGCGCTCTGTAAATGTTGCTTCTCCTCTGAGCAAAATGTTTTAAATAAATGATACAACTAAAACAAACAAATCTGTCCACCTGTGGCTGCTCTGGGTATAGCAGGGTCTTTGCTGGGCTTTTTAGTTGTTACTTTTTAGTGTTTATTAAGATGTCCTCTGAAAGCACCATCGTTTTGAAAATCATAATGACGCTATTTGCTTTATATTTATGAAAAGCACTTCCATCATCGCTTTGAATTTCATCTGTGTTCTTAAGTCTTTTCAAAGAACTTTAAGGTTGGTTTTATTAGTTTTTAGATTGTATTAAATTCTAATTCTTAAGTAGATAGCATAAGTACTTGGCTCACCAAGACGTGTATCGGAAAAAGCGAGCCTGTCACTAGCCTCATGTGTGCCCTTACGGCTATTGTGTCGATGTGCAAGTCTGTGTGAGTGAGTGCAGCCCTCTCTTTGTTCAATTCAAACCATACCATACTGTGCACGTAGCTCTGCAGTTTGCTTTTTCACTTAACCACGTATCTCAGAGACTGTTCCAAATCAGAACCTAATCACTCCTTCTTTTTAACCACTCAGTAGTATTCCTTCATAAAGATCTATCACAGTCTACTTCACCTGACCAACCTACTTTATTATTATTTTTTAAAATATTTTATTTTATTTCTGAGAGAGAGAGAGAGAGAGACAAAGAGCAAGTGAGCAGAGGAGGGTCAGGGAGAGAGGGAGACACAGAATCTGAAGTAGGCTCCAGGCTCTGAGCTAGCTGTCAGCACAGAGCCCGACGCGGGGCTTGAACCCACAAACCGTGAGATCATGACCTGAGTCGAAGTTGTATCTTTAACCAACTGGGCCACCCAGGTGCCCCCTGGCCAACCTACTTTAAACAGTACTACTAATAACACCTCACAGTTGTTTTGTGGGTCTAACAGAAGTATTCCAATGAAAGCTTTCTATTTTTCTCAATAAAATGAATTTTCTTCTCTCATTAAATAAAAACAAAATTTTGCCCTGTAATTAAATTTAAATTCCCTTCTGTTTCTTGGGGCGCCTGGGTGGCTCAGTTGGTGGAGTGTCCAACTCTTGACTTCGTCTTGGGTCATGACCCCAGGGTTGTGGGATCAAGCCCCATGTTGGGCTCTGTGCTGAGCATGGAGCCTACATAACCTCTCTCTGTCCCTCTGGCCCTCCCCCCAACTCACTCATGCTGGCTCTCTCTTTCTCTCTCTCTTAAATTAAAAAAAAAAAATTAATAAATAATTTAATAAATAAATTTCCTTCTGTTTCTTTATCATTTTATTTTTCTCTTTGAAACAATAGAACCAAACTTAATCACTAGCCAGTTTTAGTATCTTTATTTGTATCTCTCTACCATATGGAAAGCAGTTGGACAAGGTTACTGTAATTCCTTGCCCGAAATCTTACTTCTTGTTCACTTTAAGAGACAAAAATAGATACTTTAAATATGAATTCCATTTGCGATCCACTTTATATTTTAAAAAGTTATCCTTTGAAGGTTTTCTTGCCCATGTTGTTAGGGTTTTACAGTGCACAATTGATTTGGACTCCTCCACCATAAAGGATTCCTTTGGCTACATGATTTAAATAGTCTATGAAGGGAGCTTTTGTCTGATAATGAGTAAATGCCAGGGCCTGCCCCCTAGATGGGTTATAGCATTCCTTGCCTTGACCTTAGATGATAATACACCATGAAGCAATGAATTGAGGGTTTTGAGTTAGAAATGGGGTTTGCTTTATTGAATAGTAACTATATCATAGTGAAGGGGAAAAAATTCACATATTGCTAAAAATTAATCTGTAAATTGCTGCCACTTCTAACTAGTTATCCTACAGGCTAACAAAAATTTGAGTTAGAAGAATTTTCACTGTAACTGAACTGCAAAGTAATGAAACATATCCAGAGCCTCAGAAAAGACTCATTTGAATAGTGAGGAAGATTTATTTTCATGCCATGAAGAGAAACATCTTCAGAAAGTAAGCAGACCCCCACCCACCCTGTGTGTCATATCATAGCTTTTCATTCCGAAGGGGGAACTAATCTATTTTATATCCTTCTTTCCTGACCTTGGGTAAAAGATCTCAAATCATCCTGTTATTGATAGAAAGACTCAGTAAATGCTTGTTAGAAATATGAAGAGGACAGTTCTGTTTGAAGCACAATAGAGTAGTGGCTAAGAGCTTGGGGCTTTGATGGCTTGGGTTTGAAAATGATAACCACTCTAAGCCTTAGTCTTTTTGTCTGTAAACTGGGAGGAAAATCACAGCACTTACCTTATTTTTGTGAGCATTCAGTGAGCTGGTACATATAAAGCACTTAATATTGTACCTGGTGCTTACAACATTTAATAAGTAAGTAGTAACTGTCATGATCATCCATATTATTGTCTGATGATACATTCTGTTCTCTTTGGGGCATCCAGGACATGTTTTCTAGTCTGCTCATCACCTCACATCCCTCCTGATTGCAGAAGGGTTTTTCTGCTTCTCATTAAAATCATAAGAAAATTGTTTGGGACACGTTGAGGTGACAATTTTACTTTCCCCAATTAAGAATAAAAGTGACCATTTTTTCTCTAGACCAGCATTTTACCAGCGTTTCAGAAAGAATGTTGACCAGCAAAAGCTAAATTTTATGTTGACTAGATATTAAGAAAAAGAATATGGACTCCGATGTATTTACTAGTCAGTAGTCAGGAATGGGGTCCTGCCTACTTTCTATCATTTTTCCTAGATAAGCTCTTTACAGTCCCACAGCACTGTTCTCTCAAACTGTTAGACTAGACTTGGTTGTTTTTTGTTTTTGTTTTTAATCCTCTCAGCATGTTGAAGGCTTTCACCAGTTTCTTTTTGCTGTTCTAATCTGCTGGCTTATAATGCTATTCATTGACAATTTTACTACAGTTTTGTGGTTTTATAGTTACTAGAGTATCTCAGATTTGCTGAAAAGTACAGAAGTTGAGTAGATTTAAGGTAAAAAAGAAATAACAAGGTAGAGTTCCTACCCTTTAGGTTAAATTAAAGCAGAAATTAAGGACTATTTTTAGTTGCGGACTCCACCTGTGATTTGTACAGTGGTTTAGCATGTAGCTATGTCATTATAAAAAATTTTTTCTTGTTGTGTTACTTCCTCATAGTTTTGGTAGGAGAAAATGGAAAAGTAGTTCCAAAACAGTGGAAAGATCTTTAAATATCAGAAAAGAACAGTTATTTTCTAATTGATTTTTTTGAGTGAACATTAGCTACTCTTTGAAACTTGACCCTCAGAGGTAGTGGTTTTGCTTTTCTTTTCCTATTCCTTCATTAGGCCCGTATGAATGTTAGAACTCCGTAAATTCTGTCTTTGAATCCTGTCTTAAGAGGACAGTGGTTTTCTGTTTCTCTCTTTACTCAGCCACTAGTATTATGTGATACATCCTTTTCTCTCTTGAAAGTCTCAAGACTTAGGGAAAATTTAATAAGAAAAGAGAAACCAGAAGTTCATTGTGTAATTCAGTCATATTTCCAACATACAAATACCACCACGTAGCAGATAACCTTCTACGGAATTAAAAGCCTCTCAGAATGTTTTCTCCTTTCTGGTTAGTACCGTGGGATCTCAGGATAACGTATGCCACTGTCAGTCAAGTTGATGAGTCAGGTGGCCATGAGTGAAATAGTTCAGAATTAAGTCGAAGGGTAACATGGGATCCAGGCAGGCAGAGAGGCCCTGCTTCTTCAAGGACTTACGTAGCTGAGAGAGAAGAGCGAGCTTGTACCTACAGGTTTCTTCTCATGAGGAAATAGATGAGTCTAGCTGAAAAACTGATCTGAGTTATGGGTTGAGTCCTAAGGCCTCAAAAGTAAGCAAAGTAGTCTCCTCCAAGTCCTCTTGGATCAGGTTCTGGGCCACGTCCTCAAGGGAGAACCAAGAGTCTCGCCAGGGACTCTAAATGCTGGCACCAGATCTCAGGGAACAGAAGTGGGTCCTTTAATGGAAAAGAGCCAAGAGTAAGTCAAGATGCAAGTAAAAGTCACTAGTAGGGGAGCAAGTGGGAAGGGTACAGGCTGATGGCGGCTCTCTGTCCTCATACCCGTTTTGTGGTTTTATAGTTACTTGAGTATCTCAGGTTTGCTGAAAAGTCTAGAAATTGAGTAGATTTAAGGTCAAAAGAGAGTGACTGCAAGGGCACCGAGTAAAACATTAGCCTTCGAGACAGGTGACAACAGGGATCCCCAATGGGTGTGTTAAGCTTATGCGAAGTTGATTGAGAGGCATATGAAATTGGCCATTCTTACCTGATAGTAATTTGTACTCTGAAATTTCTTCATAGTAGGGCAAAAACTAGTGGCAGATTTAAACAGATATTCTAAGTCGTCTGTATTCGGTGATAGCTCCCGAAAGGGTACCACAGAAGAAGAAAAAAAAAGTAAGGAAATTCTTAGGACTGCAGGGTTTAAATCTATAGAAGAGACATCTCTTCCCTTTTGATCCCTTGAAGATGATGATAGTGAGATCTTCACACAGAAAAGCAACAATAGGAATCCCACCCAGAGAACTCTCTACCTGAGACACCTGGGGAGCTTCCCCACATCATCATGGTCCCTCTTTGGTGTGAACAGAAGAGTTCTAAAACACTAGACCTGGTTGTTGTGAAGTATTAAAAAGACAAGGTATGTGAAAGCACCTCATAAGTTGTAAAGTTCCATTTGGATGTTGCTGTGTCCTCAGCATCCAGTGCCCGCTAAGGCTCTTGCCAGGCTCTCGACTCAACCCATTTCTTTTTCTGATTTCCTCATTCCCGTTAAGAGCGTTTCCTCTTTGATCTCAGACTAATTCCAGCGCTTACTGGTTCTTTAGGGCCTTTGGCAAATGGCACCTCCTTCGTGAAGTCTTTCTTGATTTCTCAGCAACCAGATGTGCTTTTTTTTCACTTGGTGTCCCCTTCCCCCCATTGCACGGATTCTCAGTTTTTGTTTCTTGTTTTGTTTTTTGCATATGTTTCTGTATTATAACACAGAAACCTCCCATATGTTTTTCTGAAAAACCTCCCATTCTGCAAAATCATGCACTAAAAATAAACAAGTTGGGGCACCTGAGCGGTTCAGTCAGTCAGGTAAGTGTCCAGCTCTTGATTTCGGTTCAGGTCATGATCTCACAGTTCATGCGATCGAGTTCCACATCGGGCTCTGTATTGACAGCACAGAACCTGCTTCAGGTTCCCTCTCCCCTCCTCTCATGCTGTTCTTCCCCTACTCGTGTTTCTCTCTCTCTCAAAAATAAACTTAAAAAAAATAAAATAACCAAGTGTTCTGGGAAAATAGGGTTATAAGCAGGTCACTTAAAATCTACATAACTAAAAAACATCTGTATAACTTTGTAATCAAAGCCCTAATAAAAATAATAATAATCCTAATAAAAGCATTAGCCCAATTAAATCTACATAGGCATTTGCACCTAGTACACTCAGCCCATCCTTTGTAGCTTTCCTTACTCCTGCGGCTCATGATTTAGTCTTCAAGATGTAAGGTACCAAAACTTTTGCTTCTCAAACAAACTAGTCTCACCAAAATTAAAATTACAATATGAGGCTATCTGTCAGTTTGAGGCTGTTGTTTTGTTTGCTAACTCAGAGAAATGTCTTAGTATTCTTCTCATTTGCACTTGCCCTTTCCCCAGATAGCTTAACTCAGTGAAGTGTACACAGTTCTTAAAGCTATAAAACCAGCTACTTCTTGCAGAAAACACTTGTGTAGGATTTACATACTTTTTTCTTTTTCTATTTTTTTCATTTTTTTAAATGTTTTATTTATTTTTGAGACAGAGAGAGACAGAGTGCAAGCAAGGGAGGAGCAGAGAGAGAGGGAGACACAGAATCTGAAACAGGCTCCAGGCTCGGAGCTGTCAGCACAGAGCCCGATGCGAGCCTCGAACCCACGAACCGGAGATCATGACCTGAGCCAAAGTCTGATGCTTAACCGACTGAGCCCCCCAGGTGCCCCTGCATACATATTTTTTTTTTTAATTTTTATTTATTTCTAGGAGAGAGAGAGAGAGACAGCGTGAGCAGGGGAGGGTCAGAGAGAGAGGGAGTCACAGACTCTGAAACAGGCTCCAGGCTCTGAGCTGGCAGTCAGCACAGAGCCCGACGTGGGGCTCGAACCCACGAACCGCGAGATCATGACCTAAGCGAAAGTCGGACGCTTAACCGACTAAGCCACCCAGGCACCCCTGCATACATTTTTCTTAACATAGTGTCTTTAAAGAGGAAGCTTGCCCCTATTCCCTTAATATTAAAATGCTCAAAAAACTACCCATAAAGCAATATGCCTTCTGTGTCAAACTAACACTATTCCCATATTCAATGATCTCATAGAGTTAAGGTGCGTTCAAGAAAATGCTCTGTAGCAGACAAGGCTGTACATGTTTCATTCCCCTCCACCTCCTTGTCTGAACTCACTGAGGACAGAAATTGGGTCTAAGTCATCTCTGTATCCCCTCCAGATCCTGGCGTCGTGCCGTATGCTTCGAGGGAGATCACAGAGTATTTATTGGCTTGGATTAATTTGTTCTGCTGCATAATAAACATAAGTAGATACTATAGGGAAGTCCCTTAATGTAAGGATTGGCAAAACCTAAATGACTGTGTCCCCCCACCCCCTTGCTGTCAGGACCTGTCCTCCTCAGATCCTAAGTGTTCTGTTTAGAGAGTCCATGCTTTACATACTCTGACTCTGAAAGCCATGTTGAGGCATAGCGTTCATCTGATGCTTCTCAGAGATGAAGCCAAGTCCCCCTACTTGGCTCCATTTCGTTGGTCAATCACTAACACCAGCCAGTAGTTTTGCAAGTCAACAGGTCAGTTCTTTTGTGTGCCAGATTGACTGAAATGGCAGAAATAGGTGTTCTTGTTTCAGCAGGGAAACGGCAACCTTTCCTGCCTGAGACCATAGACCCAACTCCTCAAAGGAAAGAAAGGAGGAACCATCCATCGATCAATTCACTGTTGTCCTAAAGCAATTACAGTGGGAATTTGTTCCTTATTTACATCTTATCTTCGGCAAAAGCATTTCATTTTCTGTAGTTGAAACAGTGGCTCAAGCTATGACCTATCCATGGCCATGGTGGTCATCTTAGTCATAACCTCAGATCTATCCCTGCCCTTCAGTAGTTATTAGATCTAAGATACTACACCTCTTGCAAGTGAACGGGAGATCAGCGTCGGCTCTCTCTCTCTTTCCAGAATGTAAAGAGGCTCCTGCAGAACCCCAAAGTGACGGAGTTTGACGCTGCCCGCCTGGTGATGCTCTATGCTCTGCATTATGAGCGACACAGCAGCAACAGCCTGCCAGGCCTGGTGATGGACCTCAGGAACAAAGGTGTGTCCGAGAAGTACCGAAAGGTAAGCAGGTCTGTTTGTCAACCGCCCAACAAGTAGCAGCTTCTTACCTCTGACAGATGAAAATGACACTGTTTTTACTTAACAATAATGTATAATCCTGTCCTCCCCTCTCATTTCCTTAATAAAGGTATTTTCTTATGCAATGAGTTTCCTCTTTCCCAAGCAATAAGAGACGGCTTCTCTTTCTTTTCCTGGTAGCTTGTGTCTGCGGTTGTTGAATATGGCGGTAAGCGGGTCAGAGGAAGCGACCTCTTCAGCCCCAAGGACGCCGTGGCTATTACCAAACAGTTCCTCAAAGGACTGAAGGTATGGCATGTTCTGGGCTTTTCCAAATGAGAAGGAGCTGACATCCCTACAGCTAAGAGGGAATAAATACCACCTTCAAAGTAACTTCCGGATTGCCGCTGACTTAGTACGATGTCAGGGTAATGAAATTAAAGCAGACATCCTCCTGAAAGCCTTTTCTGCAAGTACTTTCTGCAGCATCATTGGAGCAGCATCAGCATGGACCAACCAGCCAAGCCGGGAGTAATGGAGTCTTCCTGGGAAATACCCAGGAGTGAAAAGGCAGCCGGTTCTGTTAGGCACGGCCATTCTACTCCATTTGTTTATAATTCAAACTTTGTTTGGTAGTTTTTTGTTGAAGGAAATTAAAGATGAAGCAAACAGTTGTAGATCTTTTAAAAACACTATTTTCTTAAAATGGTAACAAATTAGTTTTAATCTGCAAGCCTTTCTTATGTTTCCTGGAATGTTTCCATTTTCCTGAGTGTTTCCAGACTCCTTTTCTACACGATCTTTTCCTTTTATTTGCTCTACCTGTCATCCAACGTTTTCACAAAAGGATGAGAAATCACTGAAGAGATGATAAAGGACTCAAGCAATTCCTTTTTAAAAATTCTTTTTATAATAGCTAGGTTTAAATTACAGCATTTTTGTGACATTGGAACATTTCTAATTGGTGAAAAGAATTTTTTTGATGATTTAACCATAACAGTCTTCTAAAATTCCTATTTGAATCTATCCCATGAAATCCCTAGTAAATTGCATGTCCTTTTCTGATGAGTATCATTAACTGTTATATTGCATGTTTCCCAAAAATGATAGAAGATCATCTTTCCCTGTCTTAGGGAGTAGAAAATGTGTATACTCAACATCAGCCTTTCCTACATGAGACCCTGGACCAGCTCATCAAAGGAAAGCTTAAGGAAAACGTGTACCCTTATCTGGGCCCCAGCACACTCAGAGACAGGTAAGATCACCAAGATATTAATAATAAAGACCGTAAACACTAAGAAAATAGGAAACATAGAGTGATGTATGAGACTACAGTTAAGATTATACTCTCCCACTCCTCCTTCCCCTGTCGTTTCAGTTCTGAGATTCCTTTAGGTTTTACGTGCGTCAAGGTTAGCTATAAATTCACTTGCTAAGCCTGAAACATTATTTCTTTTGGAATAAAGAAGCAGGTGTTTTAGAGTATCCCAGATACTTGTATTCCGTTCTTCAGTGTCAGATGAGTTTACTTACACATGTAATGCTCAGTGCCTTGGCATTTCACATTTGGAGTTTCAAACATTAAAGCCAAAAATAGATTTGCTGCTTGATTGCCATCCAGAGCAGGTTGTTACTATTTTTGGCGGGGACTGGACTTCACCAAATGTGGCAGTAAACGGGTCAGGAAAGGATGGCTTGCTTTGGGGGTATTAACTGAAGGAAGCAATTAATTGGCATTTGGATCCAATGGTTTGTTAGTTTTCATAAAAACAAAGCTCGTCCAGGGGCGCCTGGGTGGCTCAGTCGGTTAAGTGTCTGACTTCAGCTCAGGTCATGATCTCGCGGTTTGTGGGTTCAAGCCCCACATCGGGCTCTGTGCTGACTGCCAGCTCAGAGCCTGGAGCCTGTTTCAGATTCTGTATCTCCCTCTCTCCCCTGCTCATGCTCTCTCTCTCTCTCTCTCTGTCTCAGAAATTAAAAAAAAACACAAAACTCATCCAGAACAACTTACTAAGACCAACCTGAAATTTGAAATATACGCAAAGTCCACGTTGTTATAAGTTATATTCTTGTGTATTTTTTTATTGGAACCACGTGTTGTAAAGAGCCTGATATATGTAATGGAGCCCTATTGGGTAGATTGATGTGAGAATTGTTATATTGGTAGAATTCTTCCATTATTGCAGCTAATCATAATCTAAGAGTCTTGAAGAACAGTGTTTTATAAATGCAATGAACTTCTGAAAGGAGAAAAGTGTTTTGAGGTACATAGATGATTCTTTAATATGATAAAATATCTTCTTTTTCCATTTTGTTCCTTTAAAATAAAAACTGTACTTTGGTAACAGAACAGAAAAAAGAAAACTCTAAAAAATCCAAGGCCGAGGGGCAGAATACCTGGGCCTAAATTCAAACTGTACATTCATTCAAATCAGATGCTTAAGGACCTTGGCATCAAGATTTAGAACTGTCAGCTAAGTGGAAAAGAATGAAAACCAGCCTAAAGCTATTCACCTATCTTAGAGGCTTTTTGAAAAACAGTATAACTCTGGCACCTGGGTGGCTCATTTGGTTAAGCAACTGACCCTTTGATTTCAGCTCAGGCCGTGATCTCCTGGTTCCTGGGATCAAGCCCTTCATTGGGCTCCATGCTGACAATGCAGAGCCTACTTGGGAGTCTCTCTGCCCCTCCCCCCGACGCATGCATGCTCACCTTCTCTCTCTCTCTCTCTCTCTCTCTTTCTCTCTTTCTCAAAATAAGCATTTTTTAAAAAATAGAACTTAAGATTCTCTCTCTCCCTCTCCCCTTCCCCTGCTCATGTGCACTCTCCCTCAAAAAAAGGAAAACAGTATTACTTTGTTACATAGCTTTTTAATTATATAAAAGGAAAAGTACTACTTTTTAAATGAATTTTATATAAGAATTATCAAACAGGGACGCCAGGGTGCTCAGTCAGTAAAGCCTCCAACCTCGGCTCAGGTCATGATCTCACAGTTTGTGAGTTCGAGCCCCTCATCAGGCTCTGTGCTGACAGCTCAGAGCCTGGAGCCTGCTTCACATTCTGTGTCTCCCTCTCTCTCTGCCCCTCCCCTGCTTGCACTCTGTCTCTCTCTTTCTCTTAAAAATAAATAAACGTTAAAAAATTTAAGGGTAAAGAATTATCAAATAAGAAATTAGCTACTTATTGTTAAAGGGACACCATATAAGACTAGAAGAGTTTATTGTGCGTTAATAAGAGCAAAGCTTTCTAATTTGGGTGATTCACTTCCAAATGAAACTCAGAACGATGCCAACAAAATGCACACTTACAAAATGTACGTTTACAAGTCAGCTTCTGTTGGCATCTGTCACTATCACCTAAATACAAATACAGGTAATAATGCAATTGCTCCATCCTTTTATGTAACAAATGTTTCTTGAGTCCCTTCAGTATGTCGAAAACTGTTGTAGATCCTGGGGAAATAGAAGTGACAGGAAAGACAGGCTCCTTACCTGCCCTCAAGGAGCTTACATGCTGGAGACAGTAAACAAATAAAGAATATAATTTGAAGGAGACAGGTGCTACTGAGGAAATAAAAATAGGGTAATAAATTTACCACAAAGTAACTTTGTAGAGGTGAGGAGGGCTGCTTTAGACAGAACCTCTCTGAGGAAATGATATGTACAGTGAGCTTTGAATTACAAGACAGAGCTAATCACATAACGATGAGGACAAAAAGCATCCCAAGCAGAGGGACTATCAGAGCGAAGGCCTCGAAGAGAGAACTTGGCAAGTTCATGGAACAGAGTGAAGCCCAATATGGTGGGAGCAATGCAAGGAATGGTGAAGTAAGTTGAAAAAATAAGTAGGGGCTGCATCACATAGGGTCTTATAGGCCCTGGTTAAGAGGAGGTTTAAATTTTAAATGTCACAGGAAACCACCGAGGAGCTTAGCATGTAAGTGACATGAACTGAATTACTTATTAAAGGATCACCTTGTGCGAGAATGGATTTTTTTTTTTTTTTTGAGAGTAGATTTTTGAAGGGAAAAAGAGAAGCAGGGAGACTACTTAGGAGGCAATTGTCCAGGTAAGGAGTGAAAGAGGTTTGGATGGGAGGCTGGGAGAGAGAATCAATGGAGGGACTTAATGGAGTAGATTGATGGGCCAAGGTAAAAGAGAAGTCAAGAATAAGTCTCAGGTTTTGGGGGGAATCAAGTTGTTAAGTTGCAGATGCCTATTAGATAACCAAGGGGAAACGTTAGATACTGAATTGGGAGTCAACAGGATTTTGGTAATATTTAAAGCTACAGGATGTAAGATATGGAAGATAACTTAGGGAGAGAACATAGAGAAAAGAAGAGAGTCCAGGACCGCGCATGGGGTGGAAGACATGGATCCAGAAATGGACGCCGAGGAGGAAACAGAACGGGAGAAGGAAAACCAGGAGAGGGCGGCGTCATAAAGACAGGAAGTCAGCGGTAACCTGAGTCCAGTCTGCTGAGAGGTAAAGGTGAAAACAGTGAAGAATCCGTCAGATTCGGCAACAGGAAGACGGTCTTTGGGGACCTGTTCCCTAGTGTCAGTGAGCTTGGAAACCTAATTAGTGAGGGTTTCGTGATGTAAGGCAAAACAGAGATAACAAACGTATATAACACTTTAAAAATATTTATTGTGAAGGTGTCAGAGAAATGCGGATGATAGCTAGGAGAGAGTGTGGGCTCAAGGGACAGAGATCTAGAGCATACCTTGTAACCTGATGAGAATTATCCTAAAGACGAGCGCCTGGATGGCTCAGTTGGTGAAGCAGCCAACTTTGGCTCAGGTCATGATCTCATGATCCCTGAGTTCGAGCCTCAAGTCAGCCTCTATGTTGACCACTCAGAGCCGGAGCTGCTTCAGATTCTCTGTGTCTCCCTCTCTCTCTGCCCCTCCCCTGCTCATGCTCTGTCCCTCAATCTCTCTTTCAAAAATAAACATTAAAAAAAAAAAAAAAGAATTATCCTAAAGAAAAACAAAGTAGAAAATGCTGAAGAGGAAGAGCAGAAGTGGAGCCTGTAGGGGATCCAGAGCACAAGCACAAGAGCCTGTGATAGAAGCAGAGGGACGCTTTTTTCTTCTTAACAGTTTTGACAGTGAGAATAGGGGGCCACCTTATCTGATTGGTTCTAATTTCTCAGTGAAATATGATGTCAGGTGATCAACTGAGGTGGTGGGTACAAAAAGAAAACACTGAAACTGTCAACTTGCAGGCTAGGAATCAAATTTACTAGGGAAATGTGAGTAGGACTTCTAGCCAAATTTGAGTGCCCATTAGAGTTTTGTTAGAGTTAAAATGGGCTTAAAATAGAGCCCATGAGGGGCCGCCTGGACGGCTCAGTCGGTTAAGCATCTGACTTTGGCTCAGGTCATGATCTCACCCGGTTGGTGAGTTCAAGCCCCATGTCGGGCTCTGTGCTGACAGCTCAGAGTCTGGAACCTCCTTGGGATTCTCAGAGCCTGGAACCTTCCCCCTCCCCCACTCACCCTCTGTCTCTCTCTCAAAAATAAACAAACATTTTTTTAAAAATTTAATAAGTAAAAATAAAGTAGAGCCTGTAAGCCTAGTCATCTGGTTTTCTCCAGCAACTTTTGGGTGTACTAGATTAAATGAGGATACGGCTGATAGCTGGGCCCAACCAGGATTTGGGGGAACTGAAACAGAAAGAGGTTCTTGGATTTTGAACAACAAAGTATTGTTGAGTGGTTTGGAGGTCTTCATGATGTCAAAGAATTATTACAGTAGAAGTATTAGTTTAAGTGAATTAGAAGTTAAGGAGATAATTATTGGAGAAACATATCTTGAATTCAGGACTTCACAGTGCACAGTGCACGATTATACACTGACCTTAGCCAAAAGGCCGAGAAGCAATCCAACATCCATGACTATTACACAAACTTTTTTACTACGCCTTGGAAGGACCTATTGATCAATTCCACTTTTACAGGTGTGCTGTGTAGCTAGATCACTCAGGTACACAAAGACCTGTAAACAAGGATAGTTACTGGAATATTATTTGTAATAGTTTAAGGGGAAAAAGTGGGGGGGGGGGCGCCTGAGTGGCTCAGTCAGTTAAGCGTCAGACTTCGGCCCAGGTCTTATCTCGCGGTTCGTGAGTTCGAGCCCCACATCGAGCTCTCTGCTGTCTGATCTTCTGTCCCCCTCTCTCTCTGCCCCTCCCCTACTTGCTTGCTCACTCTCAAAAATAATAAACATTTAAAAAAGGAAAAACGGA